GCCACTGCACTCCAGCCTGGGCGACAGCGCGAGACTCTGTCTCAAAAAAAAAAAAAACAAAAAAAACAAAAAAAACAGTATCTGGCAGAGAATACAGGCTGTGTAAGCGTCTGCTATTATTATCATTCGTGGACCACAGAGGTCAGTCGATAGAGCACTGCCTTATTACCCAGGGACTGAGGCCCTTGTCAGCTGTAACACACCTGGTTCTAGGTATCTGGAAAATATGAGGGGCCACCCCTCTCTCCTGCTGCTATACATGGCATTAACCACCTGCCTGGACACTTCACCCAGTGGGGAGACAGACCAAGGTGAGTGTTTGGGGGAAATGGTGTCCAGATACTTGGCATTGGCCTCCCCCTGGCTCAGGAATGTCTCTAGTCCCTCCTCTTCCAGGACCCAGCCCCTTCCTCCTTCAGACCCAAGAGTCTGAATTCCCAGCTCCTGCTCCTTCCTCCGGGACCCCACTGCTTTCCATCCCCCTATGACTTCAGCCCTAGGGACCCTCCATTTTTCTGTCCCTCATGTCTTTGGGTCCAGAAGTGTTCCTGGCTCCGCCAGAGGCCCAGAGCTTCCTGAGCAGCCACACCCGGATTCCAAGAGCCAACCACTGGGACCTGGAGCTGTTCACACCGGGGAACCTGGAACGGGAGTGTCATGAAGAGAGGTGCTCCTGGGAAGAGGCCAGGGAGTATTTTGAGGACAACACTCTCACGGTGAGGTCCTCAAGACCCTGGAGTTTCCGGCCCTCTCTCTTCTCTATACCTGTGGGGAGGTTGCAGGGGGAGGGCTTCTGTCTTCTCTATACCTGTGGGGAGGCTGCAGGGGGAGGTTCTGGCCTTCAGCTCCCTCCTCCCTGGCGTCTCAGAAGTCAGGATGGGCTAGTTTGGGGGTGTGAACCTACCAGCTGAATTGCTGCTTTTCCCCCTTCTTTTCTACTCCTCCCCCCTCAAGGAGCGCTTTTGGGAGAACTACATCTACAATGGCAAAGGAGGTGAGTGAGGGGCTGAAGCCATCTTGTTCTGTGCAGCTAAGGGATCCCTTCCCAGGGAGGCCAAACCAACGTCCTCCACCCCAAATTAGGTACAAGAATCGTCTGCCCCCCAATTCTGTGCTCTCTGAAGCTGCCTGCTAAAGGAGTTCCCCCGCTTAAGACCCCGGCTTGCCTGAGGAGCCCCCCACACCTTATGATTATTTTATTTTTAATTATTTGTTTTTGAGACAGGGTCTCGCCGTGTCGCCCAGGCTGGAGGGCTGTGGTACAATCTTGGCCCACTGCAACCTCAACCTCCCAGGCTCAAGTGATCTTCCCACCTCAGCCTCCTGAGTAATTGGGACTCCAGGTCCATACTACCATGATAATTTTTGTAGTTTTTATACAGACCGGGTCTCACCATGTTGCCCGGGCTGGTCTTGAATGCCTGGCCTCAAGCAATCCTCCTGCTTCAGTGTCCCAGACTGTTGAGACTATAGGTGCCAGGCCCCACCACATCTTATTGGATGCAGGTCCTGGGTCCCTAGGAAGGGAAGTGTCAGTGGAGGGAAAGGCTAGAGCTGTAGGGCCTGTCAGGCCTTAAGCTGAGAGGGGAAGGCCCACCTGAACCCTTTGCTGGTGTCCAGAGTAAATGGAAACACCAACCCCTCCAGCAGCCTGATTGCGGGGAACGCTGCCCTCTAGCAACGTGACCAAGGGAGGAAGCCTGCCCATCCTCACCTGCCCATTTTGCCCCCAACAACCCCTCCTCTGAGTTCTGAGGCCCCATCTTGTTGCCAGCCTTGTTGCTAAGGGGGGCTGCTCCTTAGCAACAGGGCCTGGCCAGGCCAGACCAGATGAAGAAGCCTGAAGCAGTACCTGGCTGATTTCCCCTCCCCCACAGCCCCATCCCAGCAGCTGCCTGGTTGCTAAGGAGGCCTTCTCCCTAGCAACCACACCTAGCCAGGCTCCAGGACCCAAGGCCTTCTGCCCACTGGAGGACCACCCTCCGGGCCCCCGATGCCCCACCCACTTGTGGCCCGGTTGCTAGGGGTAGATGCACCTTAGCAACAGGCCCTAGGTCTGGGCTGGAGTCTCACACTGGAGCCTGGTTGCTAGGGGAGGTAATTTCCCTACAGGCCTATCGAGGCATAATGGCTCCTTGAATCCACCTGAAGGTGCCCACATCAGGAGGACCTGCCTTCTGAAGCTGCACTTGCGCTTTTTGCTAAAGGGGCTCAAAAGTCTGGGGGTTTACTGTGGTCAGATGTGGTGGCTCATGCCTGTAATCTCAGCACTTTGGGAGGCCAAGGCGAGCAGATCACCTGAAGTCAGCAGTTCAAGATCAGCCTGGCCAGCGTGGTGAAACCCCATCTCTACTAAAAACACAAAAATTAGCCGGGCGTGGTGATGTGTGCCTGTCATCCCAGCTACTCAAGAGGCTGAGGCACAAGAATCACTGCAGCTGGGAGGCAGAGGTTGCAGTGAGCAGAGATCGCACCATTGCACTCCAGCCTGGGAGATGTCTCAAAAACAAACATACAGCAGGGTGCGGTGGCTCACGCCTGTAATCCAAGCACTTTGGGAGGCTGAGGCGAGCGGATCACCTGAGGTCAGGAGTTCGAGACCAGCCTGGTCAACATGGTGAACCCTGGTCTCTACTAAAGATACAAAAATTAGCTGGGCGTGGTGGCGCACACCTGTAATCCCAGCTAGTTGGGAGGCTGAGGCCGGAGAATCGTTCAAACCCAGGAGGTGGAGGTTGCAGTGAGCCAAGATCACACCATTGCACTCCAACCTGGGCAACAAGAGGGAAACTCCATCTCAAAAACAAACAAAAAAGTCTGGGGTTTACCTTTGGAGGAAAGCCCACCTATCTAGTGCCCATGGAAGTTTCCCCAGCAGCAAGAGCTAGCAAGACCTCCCCAAGCCCAACGACTCCCTATACTCCCTTGTCCTTAGACTCGAGGCCTTAGATTGCAAACAGGGCTGCACCTTAGTAACATGTCAAACATGAATTCTAGATTCTTAGTTACATTGGCGGGGAGAAGGGGGTCCCTAAATTCCTCCATTTGTTTTTTGTTTTTTTGAAACGGGGTTGGGCAGGGCATGATGGCTCACGCCTGTAATCCCAGCATTTTGGGAGGCTGAGGCTGGTGGATCATGAGGTCAGGAGTTTAAAACCAGCCTGACCAATATGGTGAAACCCCATCTCTACTAAAAATACAAAAATTAGCTGGGCATGGTGGCGCACGCCTGTAATCCCAGCTATTTGGGAGCCTAAGGCACCAGAATCGCTTGAACCTGGGAAGCGGAGGTTGCAGTGAGTCGAGATCACTCCAGCCTGGGCAACAGAGTGAGACTCCATCTCCAAAAAGAAAAAAAAAAAGAAATGGGGTTGCTCTGTCGCCCAGGCTGGAGAGCAGTGGCACAATCGCAACTCACTGCAGCCTCGACCTCCTATGCTCAAGTGATCCTCCCACCTAAGCCTCCTGAGTAGCTGGGATTACAGGCATGCACTACCATGCCCAGATAATTAAAAAATTTTTTTATGTAAAGATGGGGTCTCACTGTGTTGTCTATGCTGCTCTCTACCTCCTAGGCTCCAGTCATCTTCCTGCCTTGGCCTCCAAAGTTCTGGGATTACAGGTGTGAGCCACCGAGCCTGGCCATTTTCTTTTTTCTTTTAGAGACAGGGTCCAGTCACCCAGGCTGGAGTATACTGGAGTGATCCTGGCTCGCTGTAGCCTCGACCTCCTGGGGTCAAGTGACCCTTCTTCCTCAGCCTCCCAGGTAGCTGGGACTACAGGTACCTGTAGCACCACACCCAGCTATTAAAAACATTTTTTCCGGCCGGGCAAGGTGACTCACGCCTGTAATCCCAGCACTTTGGGAGGCCGAGGCGGGCGGATCACAAGGTCAAGAGATCAAGACCATCCTGGCCAACATGGTGAAACCCTGTCTCTACTAAAAATACAAAAATTAGCTGGATGTGGTGGCGGGCTCCTGTAGTCCCAGCTACTTGGGAGGCTGAGGCAGGAGAATCGCTTGAACCTGGGAGGCGGAGGTTGCAGTGAGCTGGGATCATGCCACCGCACTCCAGCCTGGTGACAGCACAACTCCGTCTCAAAACAAAACAAAAAACCAACATTTTTTTCCCCAGGCTTAGTGGTGGCTCATGCCTGTAATCCCAGAACTTTGGGAGGTAGAGATTGGTGGATTGCCTGAGGAATTTGAGACCAACCTGGGCAAAAAATACAAAAAATTACAAAACACAAAATTAGCCAGGCATGGTGACGCACACCTTTGGTCCCAGCTACTCAGGAGGCAGAGGTAGGAGGATCACCTGAGCCCTGGACGTCAAGTGGCAGTGAGCTGCGATTGCTCCACTGCACTCCATGCAAAAAAAATTTTTTTTTTTTTTGGTAGAGCCTCCCTATGTTGCCCAGGCTGGGCTCAAGTGATCTTCCTGCCTTAGCCTCCCAAAGTTCTGAGATCACAAGTGTGAGCCACTGTGCCTGGCTACCATGAATAATTTTAAAAGCATATCCCAAGTAGTGCATGTGACTTTTTTTTTTTTTTTTTTTGAGGGGGACAGAGTGTCTCTCTGTCATCCAGGCTAGAGGGCAGTGGCACAATCTCCCCGGCTCAAGCAATGCTCCTGCCTCATCCTTCTGAGTAGCTGGGACTACAGGCAAGCACCACCAAGCCTGGTTAATTTTTTTTTTTTTTTTTTTGAGACGGAGTTTTGCTCTTGTTGCCCAGGCTGGAGTGCCATGGCGCAATCTGGGCTCACCACAACCTCCACCTCATGGGTTCAAGCGATTCTCCTGCCTTAGCCTCCCAAGTAGCTGGAATTACAGGCATGCGCCACCACGCCTGACTAATTTTGTATTTTTAGTAGAGACAGGGTTTCTCCATGTTGGTCAGGCTGGTCTCAAACTCCTGACCTCAGGTGATCCAGCCACCTTGGCCTCCCAAAGTGCTGGGATTACAGGTGTGAGCCACTGCACCTGGCTAATTTTGTATTTTTTGTAGAGATGGGATTTCACCATGTTGGCCAGGCTGGTCTCAAACTCCTGACCTTGTGTGATCTCCATGCCTCAGCCTCCCAAAGTTCTGGGATTATAGGCATGAGCCACCACACCTGGCCAGGACATAGTTTTGTTTTTTTGGTGGTGGTGGTGGTTTTTTTATTTTTTGAGAGGAAGTCTTGCTCTTGTTGCCTCAGCTGGAGAGCAATGGCTCGATCTCAGCTCACTAAAACCTCTGCCTCCTGGGTTCAAGCGATTCTCCTGTGTCAGCCTCCCAAGTAGCTGGGATTACAGGCACATACCACCACGCCTGGCTAATTTGTTGTATTTTTAGTAGAGACAGGGTTTTACCATATTGGCCAGGCTGGTCTTGAGCTCCTGGCCTCAAGTGATCTACCTGCCTTGGCCTCCCTAGTGCTGGGATTACAGGCGTGAGCCACTGTATCCAGCCTGTAATCAGCCACGTATCCAGCCTGATCTCATTAAGTTTTCACAGTGGGGTAGGGGTTATGGTTCCCATTTTACAGAACCCGCAGTGGAGGGTCAGAGAAAGGAATGAGGTGAATTGCCTGAGGTCACAGGGCTAGGAAGGGACCCCAGCTCTGCCTGCTTCAGGGTCTGTTCCCTTCCCTCAGTGGGAAGGAATTTTGATTAGGGTGGGTGGCAGTCCCCGAAACAGTGGCTCCCCTTCCCTGCTTCCCTGCAGGGCGTGGACGAGTGGATGTGGCAGGCCTGGCTGTGGGACTGACGTGTGGTGTCCTTCTCATTGTCCTGGCCGGCCTGGGAGCCTTTTGGTATCTGCACTGGCGACGCCGCCGAGGCCAGCAGCCCTGTCCCCAAGAGTAAGGGGGATTCAGTGAGGAGGCGGTGGTGGTGGAGAGCAAGGGGAGGGAGGAAATGTTGACCTAAAGGGATGTGCTAAGGATTGGGGGCAGATGGGCACTGATGAAAGACCTGAGGACACTGTCATTTGGAGAGTGAATCTGTGAGCTGGCTTGTGTCTGGTTTTGGTGTCTGTTGCTCTGTCTGTCTAGATCCTCAGTACCTGGCCCACAGTAGGAGCTCTGACCACTTTTGCTGCCGGCCTGTCTTTGTGGTACTGGGATTACCAGTATCCATGGGATTACCACTCTGGATATTGTATCTGGTGAGGCTGCGACGGTGCAGCCTGTGGTGTTTGGGTGTCTGTGCTATGTCAGTTTCAGTGGTGACAGGTGCAGCACCTGAGTGGGTGTGGGAAATTGGTGAGGAGTGCATCTATGTTGTGTTCCTGTCTATACGGATGGGCTGAGTTCTGTCTGTTTGGTGTGTGTTGGCCTGCCTCTCTGCAGGGCTTTTTTTTTTTTTTGAGACGGAGTTTCACTCTCATTGCCCAGGCTAGAGTGCATAGTGTGATCTTGGCTCACTGCAACCTCTGCCTCCTGGGTTCAAGTGATTCGCCTCCCTCAGCTTCCCGAGTAGCTGGGATTATAGGCGCACGCCACCATGTCCTGCTAATTTTGTATTTTTAGTAGAGACGGGGTTTCTCCATGTTGGTCAGGCTGGTCTTGAACTCCTGACCTCAGGTGATCTGCCTGCCTCTGCCTCCCAAAGTGCTGGGATTACAGGTGTGAGCCACCACGCTTGGCCCTTTTTTTTTTTTTTTTTTAAGAGACAAAGTCTTACTGTGTTGCCCAGGCTGGAGTGCAGTGGCCCGTTCACAGCTCACTGCAGCCTCAATTTCCTGGGCTCAAGAAATCCTCCCACCTCAGCCTCCTGAGGATCTAGAACTACAGGTGTGTGCCGTGCATCCGGCAGGGCTGTCTTTTTCTCTATTGCTCTGCCTGTATCTGGTGCACATGGGTGTGTCTGAATAAGAGTGTGTCTCTGTGGTTGCTGATTTCTGTGTCTGCCTGTGTGTAGCTGACTGTCATTTGAGGCACTTTTCTGTGTGTAAGGCTAGGCTGAAGGTGACCCTCCCTTTCTGAGGTCCACCTCCCTTCCAGCTCTGTCCCAGTGTCACCCTGAATCTCCATCTCCTAGATCCCCTCTCTTCCGCCTTAGTCTAGGTATCCTGTAAGTTGCCTCTGCTAACTGTACCTTTGCTGTCCCCAGGGCCGGGCTTATCAGCCCTCTGAGTCCTTTGAGCCCTCTGGGCCCACCGACGCCCCTGCCTCCACCCCCACCCCAACCCCCAGGCCTCCCCACCTATGAGCAGGCGCTGGCAGCCTCTGGGGTACACGACGCACCTCCACCCCCCTACACCAGGTATGGGGCGTGGCTTCTGCCCGGGGGCGGGGCGCAGAGGGGTGGGCACGTTGGAGGAGGAACCTGGGCTCAGGGGCGGGACTTGGAATTTGGGCCTTATTACCTAGGGCGGGGCTTGGAGTGCGGGGGCGGGGCCCCATGCAATGGCCTAGGGGCGTGGCCCAGCGTTGTATGTGCGGAGGCGTATAAGAGGGTGGGGCCTGTGCCCAGAGGGTCCGGGATTGGCTGAGACGCCAAGGGCGGTCGGAGTGGTCCTGGCTGAGGGGAAAAAAACACAGGAGCTTTGACTCCCTAGTGTGCCTCTTCTCTTGCAGCCTCAGGAGGCCTCACTGAAGAGCTGCTTTCGAGACCCGGCTCTCCGAACCGTGCCCCTGATTCACACCGGATTCCGGAAGCCCCTAGGCCTCGTAGACGCCGAAGCTGGACTTTGGGGGGCGGGGATGGTGGGAGTAGGGGTCGCCCGGCCCGAGGCCTGCCCTGGCACACGCGTTTCCGCCGCGTATGGATATACACATGTTCTCGGCAACGTGTTCCCGTGTCCTGGCCCCTCACGGGCCCCCACACTCTCCTGACCGTGAGGGCACTGGTCAGTTCCGCCCCCGTGGTAGGCAGACGCGCGGGGAAATTCGGACCCAGGAGCCCAGCCCCGGCTGTGCCGTCTTGTGTATGGGCAGATATGACCTGACAGTCCCCTCCAGTGCCACAGGGTACGCACACGCACAGCCCCGCCTGTGCACACGCGTGTCTTCGTGCACTCCCTGTGCGGTACAGAGGCACTTCGTAACCCAGGGAAAGGGCGGGGGGCATATTTGCAAGCGTGCTCGGTGCGGGCAGGCTCGCATTGCACCCAGGGAGCTGGAGTTGAGCTCTTCCCCTAAATAAAAACCCTTCGGAAAGGAGACCAAAAAAAGCAGAAATAATGCAAATAATAATAATAATAATAATGAACCGCGATCCCGGGCGCATCGGAACTGGTTTTCTGTGCAAACGCGCCCTACACCCCCAGGCCCTGCTTGCGCTCAGTCTCTCTCACTCTCCCTTTTTTTTTTTTTTTTT